TACCATGACCTCATTTGGATGGAGGCTTACCTCATTGAGTTTCTCCAGGAATTATGCTGACGAAGAGATCGTGGTGTCTGACCCAGCAGTCAGGAATTTGAGACGCCGGAACAGCCACTTAGCCAGTCTGTACGTTGGAGTCCCTTTGACCGACTCGATGGGCCGGAGAGGAGCGCGGTCTTTGTGCACCTTAGGAAGGCCATAGAATCGGACCAAAGCCGTATCTTGGGGTCCGGCCATGCACCTGTCGGTCGGTGTTATTGCAATCGAGTTCTCCAAGGATAACAATGTGGCATTAATTTCGCGTGTCAGCGCTTTTAAAGGGTTCGTTGCACATGGGACATAGAACTGTCGGTCCTCCAGTAAACCCTTGGTCTTTTGACGGTAGTCTGTCCTGTCCAGTACAACCGTGAGGCGCCCCTTGTCCGCTGGCACGATGACCAGGTCTTTGTTGGCCTTCAGTTCTCTAAGCGCATTACGTTCGACCTTGGAAAGCACTCCCCGCGGTCTGTGGGCCATCAGGAGAGACGACACTTGGCGTCGGATGAGGCTCCTAGTCTCCTGCGTTGTGTGTGGTTGACAAAGAATTGATTCCACTGCTGCAATCATGTTAGCAGGTTTGGCGTCAGCCGTGTTAAATGAAGATTCGTGCCGTAAAACCTGCTTTTGATCTTTCGTCAGCTCCTTTGACGACAGATTATGCAACAGTTTGTCGTTTCGGGGCGACATTGGATTGGGCAGCTTTCGGAATTTGTTCTCCAGTACTGCGTCGCGGGCATGTTCCGTCACCCTCTGCAGGGGCAGATTTGTACCGATCCCACCCATGAACTCACAGCATCTGGTCTTTTCTTGGTCAATCCTTTGACGGTACTTGCGCAGTCTCGCGTGGCAATCTTGGAGGAGGACTGGGATCATTCTTCTGCCCTGCTGAAATACAGTTCGTCTCGCCACATCCGTGTTAACTGGGGGCTTGTATGAAACACATTTTGGTAACACATTATTGTCGAGACACCTGCGCAGAAACCGGATCTGCTAATACGTAGAGTCCTTCCGTAGGGCGAAGGTTTCCCACTGCCCGCCCGATTGGAGCGCATTGCGCCCAAATGCATTGCCAATAGAAACGAAGAGACGAGTCCCAGGAAGTAGTCTTGAAGAAGGAGACACGATCGCTGGGACAAGAGCTTTAATAGCCTGACGCTTCTTATAGTAGACGTGGAGGTGGGGTAAAAATGTCGTGGCCGTTAGTGTTGCTACGACTTTTTGCGTAGTGGCTAATGGAACATCCCCACAATATCCGACTTCAGCATTAAGTAGACGTGTTTAGAAGACTTTGGGGCTGGCTGCGCGTTTTGCTTTTTACCGAGTGATCTTTAAGGATAAGATGCAAAAATGCATATTGACCCAACTGTGTGAAAATCGGCGCCTCGGCGGGAATCGAACCCACAACAGTAATTGGAAGGCGCCTAGTTTTTCAGTGTTGTCAATATGAATTACTCAAAATCTGCCAAAACATCCATAAAAGACGCAAAAAGTAAAAAGGATATTCTACGACTGACCAAAAAGCTGTGTTTGACTGAGGTTGCGCTAGTGGTTTAACGTTTCTGCTGGTAATCAGTTTGGTGTGCACGTTTTCCTCAACGGTGTTTTTGCAATCATTCTTGACTATCAAAAACGCATGAGCCGGAGTTTGTATTATGATGTCTGCACATTCTTTTCTTTGGAAACTTAGCCTTAAATAGCAACTACGTCTTTT